ACGATGACGTTTATGTCACACAACAACACTTGCTTAACCGAAGTAAGCATAAATTAATTTTTTTGTGGAAAGGGATATTCATAACTCAGCCAAAATATTGATTAAAGAAAGTTTATAGCCGTGGCGATATCCTTCTAAGAACACCTCCATAATTTGCGATTCGCTCAGCTGATGGGGCAGTGCAGATCTCCGGTTTAGTACCATCAATGAGGGGGCCACATTATTTTAAAGGCAATGCCAATCTTTCTAGGACGACAGTGGTGTTCATGATTTTTCCTCCTTTCCTTGACACTGGTGACTGATTGGATATTGATAAAAAATGAATGGTCAGAGATACAAACGACAAAGTACGGTTTCATTAGAAAAATTTTTGAAGTAACGCGAAGAAGTGCAAATTACCACAGATCGAGATATTATTGATTCAGAAATCATGATTACAATTTCTACATGCCATAGGGACTCCATCAGAAGAGAGACGCAGGACAAATACCTTTGGAACGTCACAATTAAGACGACCTAAAGAGAGATCTCGAACCAGATAAGCGGATTATATGGAATGCGTTATTCTGCCATGTGTCAATCCAGATCACTGGGCTGCTCAGTAGTGATCATCGGATAACCTCCCAATGCTACCCCGATCCATTGGGGACCTTAACCAGTGGATTGTTAAAATGAATGAACTCGTGATATAAAAATTTTGCATATGCTTGGTCATTTGATTTACATTCCTAAACCGGTCGATGCACAAAGCAGACTCTGCTCCTAATAAGCAGATTAGCGAGTGATTTCATTAATTTGGCTTGTGAGAAAGGAAGGAAGGTCTACTGTCGTATATACTTGACATGAGTACTCATAGGAGTACACATACTTTCCAATGTTCCACTCGCGGCAGTAAAATATTCCACAGAATTTCCATGCCAGCCTGTGAGATCAGTATAATTTATACATGCTTTTACGTTTTCACTTACGGCATGCATATTATTATTTGTTTATTAAACAGACATGTTTAGGGTATCATTTTTCCCGCGTTCATGTCCATGTGGTCAAAGTGGGCGCCACCGATGGAAAGGAGCAAACTCATCGCATTAAGCTTTGCCGGTAAGGCAGAAGAGGCTTTCAGAAAGGATGTGCCGTGTTGTTCAGTCAGATTTTAACGTTTAGGTAATCAAGTTGGTAACATCGTGACGATGGCGATAGCGGGACAACTTTGCAAATACGGCTTTGCTGGAGGATGGCCGTCAATATTTTATGTTACAGGTAAAATATCCTCTCCTTGTACAGAGGCCAATCAGCACAGCATGTGGCCCACGGTTGGAAGTTTGCATGTTTAATTCGCAGACAGGACAATCTTCCGTTTTCACCTTTCCGAGGTAGAAAAATGAATACTGTCAGTTTGGAAGTAAGTGGAATGTCCCATGCTGCAATGGCCACCCACCAGTGGACTTTTTACCTTAAAAAATATCACATTTATGCACAATGGCGTCTTGATGACTCACTCATCTTTCCTTTCCTTTAAAGAAAGCTGAATGACATTACTTTGAGACTACCCTCAGAAAAGTTTTGAAGCCATTCGTTTTTCAGGAACGACCTCGATTCAGGCAGTTATTATTAAAGTTAGTTGTATGTCTTCAGAGGAAGTTTCGAGCGAAATGAAGCACTAGCTCCAAATTAGACTTAATGAATAATTTATTGAAGAAAATTCATATCTTTATGTCATCTATAGATAAGTGAATTAAAACCGATTAACGATTGGTAACCTTGCCTAATTCAGAGCACAATATACATTAAGTTTGCATTTCATAGTGGCATACCACCTGTAGCTATAGAATAACCTTGGTGCATTCGTCCCCTCTTTGAATTATGGATCATATTGGAAGTGCGTTCGTAGCTGGAATTGGATTGCCAGATGTAGCTGTGTCAGGATTTACTATGGCACTTCTGATTTGAGATAAGCACAGCATCAGGAAAAACAAATATGTTAGCTTAAGTACTGAATACTAAGGGCACAGCAACTATGATCACGTTCAGTTGGTGATGGATGTCTCCCCCCATCTCTTCAGTTTTCCGTTCTGTTCCGCTCAATGACTACTATCGTACTACAGTACCACTATATGACATTCTACTCGGTGATGCTGTGCTCGACGCCTACCAACTCGGTGCGGTTACGGCTGCAACACAATCAGTGTTCCAGTACAGTATTTACTTTTCTTTGTGCTCTGCTCTTGAAGTGTATGAGCTTTTGTACACTTTGACACGATTAAATTCGAGTTCTAGCTAAGAACTGGCTGACAATCAGACTCATCACCCCAATGGGACAAACACATAAAGTTTGACATGTCTTAAAGGTGCTTCACCATGACAAACTCTTTAATTTCTGGATTATTGCCGATATTGCTAAAAATTCGACAGTGATCACACGTGTCAATCTATTTTAATTGATTTAAATTCTAGTTAAATAAAGCCACATGAATGTTGAACCTGTTGGATATATCTCCCCGGCAGAGAGAGAGGGTGAAGCCCCCGGTTGGTCGGTAAATCATGACGCGACCAAGAACTCGCCAAGTTCCTGTCTTCTGGATTTTAACAGGCAGTTTTAGGATATGGAGGAAGACAGCTATTGAGAATTGACAAAGATTGACACCCTGAGTGAACTGCGTACGATGCTGGTCAAAAATGCGCTACGTACCGAAGAATGTCGGGGCCGTGGGGCCACAGCGTTGGCTTGCCAAAAACAGGGATTACCTGCGACCTGGCTATGCTGAAGACACGACGGAAAGATATTATCAAGTCTTCATGCTTAGCCATACCAGAACTCTGTCGTCAGACGCAAACGATACACCACCGAGGCGAAAAAAGTCAAACGTATATTTATTCAACGCAAGCGCATTGGGACCACCCGATGACGCCTGTTGGAGAAAAGTGGGAA